TAGATTTCAACATCTTGTTCTTCCCTTTTTTCCTCTTCTTCTCTACCTTGTTGTTTCTTCTGGTTTATTTTGCTACTGCTGTCTTTATTCAAATTAATACATGCAAGTAACATGTTTGCATTTCCTCTTTCCCCTGCTCTGCCAAGCATGCAATTCACTAAATTACAGAAACATGAAGCTGGATCACATATAAAACACTCATCACAGATGTCTTCTAAATTCTAGGGAAGGACTTTCACAGCCTGTGCTTAGATATCCTTCAAAGGGTTTTCTTTATCATTACATCACTCACGGAGAAAGAAACAAGTTCTCTCTCCAGATAACAACAGGTCCATGTCCTGCTTGTCACAGCTTTTTTTTTGAAAGTCAGTTCTTCCCTCAATATTTTCTTCTCAGGGAAAAAAAAAGTCCTTCAACCTTTCTTTTCATCAATCACTTTTCAAAAAACATCTCCTCCATTTCTACTTTTCTTCAAACATTTATCCTCATCCTTCTGAAAGTTCACGTCAAAGTATTTCAGAGGACGTCTCCACAGCAGCTGGCACAAAACAGCCATTACCCATCAGGTCCATTCAGTTTCCCCACCCCAGACTGTCTCTCACTAGAGTTCAAAGCAAAACACTGGAGACACACTTTTGCCTTATAGTTCCATTTTAACCTCCAGGTGATCTATTGTATCATGAACTTACAGAGAAAATATGCAGTAAAAAGTGCAGTATGAAACTCGGTGGCAAACTCAAACCCAATGCTCTTGTGTAGCACCCCCTACCTTTGCACATGTGTTTTAAACAGAAAGATGCTACAGAAAGAAATGTTTCTTCCATTCTGCTTCCATTTGAAAACAAGAAGCATTAGTTGAAGAAAACATAAAACGTACACAGAAATTTATTTCTAGAAGTAAAATATTTAATTACCTTATTTAAAATAATAATTTTCTTATTTAAAATAAAAACTCCTTCCTGTTTGTCTTGTTTAAAATACCTAAATCACTGTGAAACTTTTCTTAAAAGAAAGTCCCTATAAAAAGCCAAATATTGCATATATCTTAATTGTAATGCAATCATTACAGATTACACTACACTATGATGCAACCAAAAATGTGAACACTCAATGCTTGTAAATGTGACTGAAAAACAAATTTATCTACTCTGTCCAAATACAAATGTAACACTGCAGATCTCCACAATGAAGAAATTTCATATGCATAGATCAATTTCTAGTTGGAAGGTCAAAACAAAGCAAAAAGTAAAAATGAGTACTCCAAATAATTTCTAATGAAAGAAAACAAAAGCTAAACTTTACTTCACAGGAATCGCTAAGTCTTTGCTATGTATGGAAAGGAGCAGCTCAGAGCTACTCTGAGCTTTGTTTTTCTGGGCTCTCTACAGTTACAAGCAATTCTTTCTCCCTCATTCATCCCTACACCAAAACAACAACTCCACATTTGTTTTCTAATAGTACTAGCCACTGCCATCTTGCAAATTTTTTCTTTATAAATCCAAGAAGGCAATGTTCCTGGATTTCCAAATGACCCCCAGCACAAGCAATGGGGCAGTGGTGTATCTAGATCTTGAGTGAGCAAAGGATGCCAATGACAGGACACACTCACAAACACAACCCTTTATCAGTCTGGCAAGAGACATTTTGTCCAGCTTCAAAGAAAACTATCTTCTCCTTCCACAGGCTAATAGAAAGATTGGTTATAGTATAACTATACTCCTTTTGTTTAGCTCCAGACTAAAATAATAGTGTGCTTTTACTGTCTGAACTTCACCTGTTCTTTAACTTCCCAAAATAAACTGCAGGTGAACACAGATTTTATGAAGTACATTTACAACCTGCTCTTCCATTGGCAGGAAAAATAAGAACTTGGCAATAAACACTCACCAACTGATTTTCCCATTTTCCTTTCTTTAAATTCTTCCACAATGCACTGCAAAGCATCACTAAACCCATAAAACACACAGTACTGTCAACTCTCAGCTGTGTGAACTAAAGGTGTTGGAATGATTCAGTCAAAGCTAAAATGACAAAGATGAAACATGCAATGAGAGTACAAATGGGGAGAAGTCATTGATACAACTGATTGAAGCAAAAACTCATTTTGTGAGGGCATAGTTACATCTCTCCACATCCATAGCAGTTTTCATCTTCAGTTAAATGACAGAAAACTAAGGGCTAACAATACACCAGCTCTCAGAGGAAAGGTCTGATGTCTCTCTGTTCTGTGCAATGGACATGTGCTCCTTTGTGCTGTGCCAAAGAGTTGCCAAGTGAACATATTTCCTCCTTAGATTCCAGATTCCCAGTTTGTCCCCAGAAACAAGGACTTCTGCCCACAGCTGCAATGGTGCATTGCCCCCCTGCTCACTCCACTCTGGAACACAGGGACGCCTGACAGGCTGAGCACTGAATCCCATGGCAGTCACTCTGGGACATGCTGCGGGTCCTGGATGTCCTCAGAATGCCACAAAAACATGCTGGAACTGTCAAAAGAAGCACCCTTCCCTGAATTTGCTATTAGAGTGGCAATTCATAGATGAGGTTTACACGACAAAGTTGTAGTTCAAAACTTCAATAAGGAAAAAGAAAAGGGTCTCTTCTTCAGGACACTACACTATTTTCCAGTCACTTTTGAAGATTTGGCTGGAGCAAGGTGATGCAAGCCCCTTTTTCTCCTTCACCTCCCTAAATCCACAATCCTGCAGAAAGCAGGGATTTAATTCTAGCCCCTTCAATCAGGCATACCTTATGTATAACCCTCTTACCATTCCTATTTAATCTTTTCTTGGAACTCTGCACAGAGCTACAGCAAGTCATGTAACCCACTAATCTCCAAAAGGAATGCAGGAATAATAAGTAAATAAATAAGAATGGATTCAGAACAAGAAATGGCACAAGGTATTTGCAAGGAATTAAACACACCATCATGTTTCCTACAAGCTGCCTTCTTACAGTATCTGTTTTGGTAGGATTAGAGTTGGATAGTGCAGAACTGCAAGTTATTTTTTGTTCGCTTCAGCTGATGGGGGGTGGATTTCTTTCCCCCCAAGTTTCAAAGCAACAGAGAAATGTTAATATTAGAAACCTGACATTTTGCACTCATTCCTGCTTGCATAACTATATGTTTTTATACCAAATGGGGCTCCTTTGATAATTATGAAGATCTACCACTGTGCATGATTTTATCTAGAGGTTTTTCCTGTACTCCCAAGACCTAACATCATGCAGAACAGAAGAGAATCATCCAAGTTCTATGGTACACATAATTAGTAACAAATTCTACTGGTTTTGTATGACTTGATATTTGGTGAGGAGAGGAAGCCACCCACTGAAATTATTTTTCTAAGAGGGGGCTGCTAAGAGTTTTCTCTGTGCTTAGCAAAAACTAATAGTTGGCTAGCTCTGAGAATTGACAACTTATTCAACTATCCAGAAGCTGGATCTGCCTCTGTGAAATGCACATTTTAAAAACAGGCAAGCCCAGGAAAGCTATCTCTTGCTTCTGGCTTTGGAAAAGGTAACTGGGTGTTGGTGGGGCCAGCCCCACTCTGCCCACGGGGCCTGGCAGGGCCGGGCTGGCCCCCAGCAGCTCCCAGGCAGGGGATGGGAGGCTGCAGGGTACCAGCCAAGGCTGGGGCAGGCCCCCTCTGCCACAGCCCACACGGCCCCAGCGGCTGCCGGTCGGAGAGGGGGAAGCCATTGACCCACAGCTGAAATTAAAGGAAGCAAGGGCCAGAGACCAGCCACGCAGCCAGAACGGCCAACACCATTCCCGCTCTGGCCGGGCCCCCTGAGATCTTGGCACAGCCTGGCATGGCCTGAAATCCATCACTGTAACTGCTTCAGCCACAGCCCAGCAGAAAACCATTATGACCATCTGCAGGCCTGGGCAAGATATTAATTCTTTCATGGCACCGATGAAACTTGCAAAACATTGATCCTCTCTCTTGAGTGAGAGAAAAGGAGAGAGTGAAGACACACAGAAAAACAACCGGAAGACACTAAAGTCAGTAAAGAGGGAGTCAAGTCCCAGACAGAAGAATGAGGAGATGCCTTAGTATTGGGCTGAAAATTCTTTTGGTAAGGCCATAAAGATGGACTATAATACACTAAAATATCTTTTAATTCATGAGAGAGTATGGAGGGATGGAGTATTCAAACTGTAAATGTGAGCAGAGGCATCCATAATGAAGCAAAGCAGATGTTGAAGTAGCTGTGATCCCATGAGAAGCTTAAAGAGAGAGATGAGAGTGATGAAGACCCTTTGCCCCCAGGGAGAGAAGGAGACCTCTGCTCCCAGAGAGTAAGACGATCACAGAGACAGATTAAGAGAACCTTTGCTTTTAAACAGCTCATTCTTAAAGTAATACCCCATAAGTTAACATAGCCCATTAACTCAGCTGTGGGAAGGCTGTGAAAATGGGATGAACTTCACGACTGCAGATTTTCCCAAGCAGGCTTTAAAAGCCACGAGAGAACTGTTTCTTGTGGAGAAGTCTCTATGGCGCAGCAAAAGAAAACTCCTCTCCCTACAAGAACTGATGAAAGACTACTGTAGAGGTGGCAATTGATTTAAAATCCCAGATTTTGTCTCTACATTGTCAGTGGGAAAGGAAAGCAGTCAGGCAGGGGAGGAAAAGTGTTCTGAAGGTTTTATTCTGATTCTTATTATTGTTTTAGTTCTGCTAATAAATTTTTTATTTATACCTTTTAAGTATTGCACCTGCTTTGTCCTCCTCCTAATTCATATCTCACAGCAAGAAAGGAGTAAATAATTCTAGTACGTACACTAGTGATTTTAGCCAGCGCTAAACCCATTACACAAATTCTGAGTATCTCCCTCTGCTCTGCTTACTTTTTTTCAGGGTAACAAAGAAGTTTCAGTGCCAATACACACAAGTTTTAAAACATATGCCAGTTAAAGATAGTCATGCAATCTTTGGAACATTCTTCACATGTAGGCACTGCACTTTCTCAGAAAAAGCAACAGAACTTACCCTCATCTGTAGGGTTGAACCCACAGATATCACAGATACATCGAACCCACTTATTCATCTCCTCCTCACTGTCTGCTACCAAATAGAAAACTCGGTCTATAGTGTTGATATCAAAAATATAGCTGTTTTCAAACTCCTTTTTGTTGAACGTTAATCCAGCATCCACTTGTTGACACAAATTTAAATCAATAATACGGATAGGCTTCTTGGCATGGTCATTTTTGTAGTATTCCAAGACATCTGGATCCCCGGTTAAGCGGCCGCTCCGAAGCACAAACCATCTTCTCTTCCATGCCTGGAAATTGGGGAGAAAGAAAAGGGAGAAAAATTAGAAGGAAGAAATCACACTTTAAGACCTTTTATGCGTGGTTTCAGCCTGGGTTGAACCAAGTACTTGTACTGATACTACTGATAAAGTAGTTCAGCTATTATACTAAGAGATTACATACCAAATACCCACATTTAACACTATTTAGGAATTGTTAGAGAAGTGGACTTGAGAATTAGTGAATTTGTATTTTAAATTTTGTATCTTGGCTTTGTTTGAAGCAAGTGGATATATAAATTAAATCACTGTTTACAAAATGAGAAAGTATGAATACACTAAAGAAAAAAGTGGGGTGGGGACCAGGAGAGGGGGAAAAAACCCACAAAAAGGGCTTCTGAAGGAAACTCTCATAGGCATGGAAAAGACAAAATAAAGTATGTCTTTAAGTGCTGCACGGTGTTTTGTTTCCAATATCTGTTGTTTCAGGCTGATGTATTTTAACTGAATATTTCACGGATACTCAACAATAGTGACCTGCATTTAAAGAACAGACAATGCTCACACTGTACACCGACCTCGATGCCAGGGGAATTCTGCACTCAGAACCTCATCATATTTCTACAGTAGTAATTCTTACAGAAAAAGAGCAACATTATTATTTTTTTAAACTTACAGAGAAATGGGGATGGAGACAATCACCAAATGTTATAGTTTTACCACACAAACCCAGTCTTTGAGAAGATCCAGAAGAAATGAATTTGATAGTCTGATACCAGCCCTCCTGATGCTGCAGAAAGAAGCTGGTCTAAGAGAAAAATGAAAGCAAAATTTCTCATTCTCTAAGTAATCCTCAGCTGCCTTTCATCCTGTGGGCCTCCAACACCTGCCATAATTCTCATCAAAGACTAACTCAATCCATACAACCAAGTTCAACATACAGCTGTCTTGCTGCTTCCAACAACATCTTTATTGCCCCACTTGGATGCAATTTGTTCCTCAGCTCTACCAGCAATACTATGCTAGTAGATTTTTTTTATACCCCAGTGTCAGGGTACAGCAGAAGAAACCAGACATATTGCTATTGCTCACTAGGAAAGCTGCACTGCTTTCACACTGAGAAATCTGAAAGCAGAGCCCAGACACAGTGTGGAGCCACCCGTGTCATCCATTTGTTCTTATACTTTTCAGCAAAGTTTAAAAACAAGGTAAATAAGTGCAGTAGCCACGCCACTGTGCATTACACCACAGACTCACACCATTCCCCAAAGCACCCCACTTTAAACTTCTTTAGGATATCCTTTGGAAGGAAAAAAAACAAAAAAAAGTAAAAAAAAAACCAAAAAAAACCCCAAAACAAAACAAAAACCAAAAACGCAAAACCAAAACAAAACAAATTAGAACAAAAAACCACCATAAAAACAGCTGAAGAAATGCATAAATAAAACAGGTGAGTGCGTTTTCCTTCGGCTAGCCCTGGCTGTGTGCTAACCAAGGAAAGGAACAGAATCAGCAAGGATCCCAGAAGGGGTCAAGATGTGTGATGTCCTTTAAACACTGGGACAGCAGCTTTGAAAACAAGACTTTCTTACTGCGTATTAGTGAAAGATTCAGAGACATTTTTGTAAGGCACAAGAGCGCATTCATTTAATTTTTTGTAGGTGCTACCTTCTAACAAACTAGTGGAAGGAGGACAAGGAGCAAGAACTGCACCGCCATCTCCCCACTCTGATCAAGTGACATCAGCTTTGCCCCAGAGACACACAAAACCCTCACTGTGAAGTGGGCATGCCTTTTTGGGGTATCAAGCTTAGAAAGCTATTATGAAAAGATAATACAGAAAACAGGAGAAATAGTAAAAGGACAGACAGCTTACTTAAGGCTTGTGATCCATTCTCCAACTACCAAAGCTCTAAAAGTTTTTTGATTTTAAGATAACGTGCATACTTTACAAAACAATTGTATTTATTGTAGTTCTGAATAATAGCACTTATTTTTAAATGCTGAACTGTGTGAATCAAGTCAAAGTCCCAAGCAACTATTTTCATGGTAGCAATAAGTTTAACTGGGTGAACAATTAAAATGAAGAAGATGTAATAGATTAAACCCCTTCAGTTTAGATTTAAAATGTGAGTATATCCTAGCAGCACAGTTGGATAAGCACCATTTAACAGTGACCCCAAAACATTAGCAGAGTTTGTTTTGTTTCCTGCTTCCAAATCAAGTGACAACTTAGATGCTGGGATAACAGGAAACTTCAGTAGAGGAGCTTCTCTCCAGGCAAGGCTGATCACAGATAACTTCTACAAACTGCTTCAGAAACAAGCTTTATCTTTAACCGCAGCCTTAAGTCACTCAGATGAAATTTTCAAAGCAGAAATCAGAAGGAAAGAGATTAGAGATAGGAGAGGAACAAGAGCAATTGAGAAGCATGATGCGTTTTGTCTCACAGTTTGTGCTAAAACAAAACCCCATGCAAAACAACTCCATTAACTCTGCATCAACCAGGCATGCCTCTTCTAGAAGTTTATTTCTAGTACTGTGTTAGGGAATGAGAGGTTCTTAGCAATCCTGAAAATTTCTGTTGAATATTAATGAGTAAATAGGACTCTAAAACTGAGAAAAAACACTGAGCTAATTTCCTTTGAGTCCTTCAGGCTACAAAACAGCAACTCTTAAGTACTTAAAACATTGAATTTAGTCTGCTAGCACCTGCTACTATTTTTGAAGAGTTTTCACATAGTGCATATGCGAACATTTATTTCAGTCCTACAGTGAGTCACACTCTGAAACTGGCACAGATTATATTCAAAACCAAAAGCAATTCCATAAACTACACACTAATAAGGCAGATACAAAGGTTCTCTGGGCTACAGTACAAAGCACAATTTAGCAGCAGAATAAAGCTTAAAGCTAGACAAGTGAACTGACATCAGCACCCTTGCTAATCATGGTACAAAAGTGCCTCTATACTTTGTCAAAGTGCAAAATGAGCTCACATAAATCACCCTTTGTTATTTGAAAATATCTGGGATTCCTAAAGCTTGATCTATTTTTAACATTTCAGCATTCGTTGCTGCAATGAAAGCTGTACACTGCCCCACCGAAGTAGAGAATATTTTGCTATTTATGTTATATGCAAGGAAGAGCTTCTTCAGCAACAGCTTTCCAAAGAGCAATGTCTAAAAGAGAGTGCACATGTGCAAATATGTACTTATGCAAGTTTTTCAGGTTTTTGGGGTTTTTTAGCCCATTCGGGCATTTCTGTTTGAAAATCTCATGTTTTCTCGTACAGAAGAGCATACTAAAAACTATTTCTCATAATCACTCAAAAAGATGCAACCAATTTATGTCACAGGAAATTTAAAGGTACCAATTATTTATCTGTTACATAACTGATGTTACTATCAGCCATACATTATCAAACCCTGGTTTTCTATGCTAGAAGTCAACTGCTTTAAGTTTGAGAAGTCAAAAAAATAGCCAGAATACAATTTAAACATTTTGTAGTTATTTAATTCTGGGAATAAATTTGAGTTTTTTGTTTTGTTTTTTTTTAAATGAAAGATTCACTCAAATATATAAAATATGTTATTAATATAAATAGGGTCTAAAAATATATTTTATAACTATACTAGCACTTAGTCACTAAATACTGCTTGCAGAGCAAATACCTAATTCAGAAGAAAAATGGCTCCTTTTATAAATGCTGTAAGGCAGACATGGTAATCAAGTTCACCAAAAGCCTGTGTAGGCTTTGTAAACTATTACAAAGCACAGCTTAAGTTTTGCTGCCTTTCCCCCGGTCTAAGAAAGGCCTTGTGTGCCTCTCAGTTTGTTTTCTCCTCTCGGCTGCACAGCACATCAGCTGGCCTAACACAGGACACCACCATGCCTGCCAAACATTGTCCTGCTTCTGTCATGAGACCATTGCATCATGAGACCACCATAACTACAGAAATGAGTTTGTTTGCTTGCTTTTGAGGAAGGCTGAAATGTGACACACTGTTCAGAAATAGAGCATCAAATGATCAAAGGAACAGTAGAATTCTGTATTTTTCACATAGCATTTTGAGTAAGTTGCAAAGTAAAACCAAGACATTCCTATGATTAGGGATTTTTTTACTAAGGTACATGCAAACTGCTGACTTCAATGTGAATGAATGAACTAAAAAATTGACAGAAAGCATCATGCAACAGTGTTAGGGTTTAGCTGGGTTTTGGCATTTTTTTAACTACTGCTTACTACTCTATGCAGTACACAGAATTTACAATATATTCTACTTACAAGAGGTATTCATGTTGAAGAAGTTGTAGCTATACTTTCCTTAATCTTTACATTTAGGGATTATTTTCCCCTCCCTTCTCCTCATATATACTCAAGATGTACCTCATTCAGCTGCTGCCTGTATTTCAAACACATAAGAAATAGAGGATGTATATGTAAATGGAAAGGGAAAGGAAGGAGAAAGGGGAAGGAAAGAGCAGATAATTTAAATTTATATTTTTAAAAGAATTTAACCTTCCATTTAGATCTCCTTAAGCTGTTGCTCAAGAGGCCAAAATGATTACATGACGTGTTTAAGTAAAAGCTTAGAGATATTAAGTCAGCTTTTTCTGGTATCTTTTTTACAGATTTACCTTTCACATGGCCAAGTGACTGCTTACTAATAAACTGATCAATTATCCTTCTGTAGTTTCCTACTGTCACTACCCACCATTCTAAGGCTGATCAAAGCTGACTCTCCTCTTCCAGCAATTTGTCACTGTTTTTTTTGTGGGTAGCATCTGGTCAAAAAAACCTTTCAAAATGCCTGAGCACCGGCTAAGCCAAAGAGGGTATCCCTTACACCTCACCCCAGTAACACTGCTAATAAATATTTTCCCATGTATGACCAGTAAACCCAAGAATAAAATTACAAATCTCAGGCCTTCCCTTCTCATCTCTCAAGTGTGAAGATGTTTGTGCTTAGGTTTTCATCTCTGTACTAACAGAGTACTTTAAAAGGGCACCATTTGGCATCCTCTTT